AGGATGGGCAGTGTCCTCCAGGAGATAGAAAAACGTACCTGCACAGGTAAATGGGTGTTTGATTGCAAAGACTGCCTGAATCCATGTATGTAGTAAGAAGGTATATTTATTTAAGCTACGGCTTAAACACAGGACATCAGATTGATTTATTCTAATCGTCCAACCTCTGTTTAAACAAGGCTAACAATAAATAAACTTATATGCTCTTTCTAAGCGAAAGGAGTCTCAAACATGATGGGGATGATCAACAAGTAGATGCTTAAAGTTACAAACAGACATAACTGTTCTGCTTTAAACGATAAGGTCCATACCGCCTATGAGTGAGCCAAAAACATAATGAAAACGCTGATCCCAATTGTTTCTCACCTGTCGTGGTGATAGAAATTGGTTCACTCCTGTCACTGGGCCCTCCGATGTTGACCGCTCTCACAGAGATGAGGTAACGTTGTCCTGGCTGCAGCTGGATCAGACACTGACAGGTGGGCACTGCTACAATAGACCTGGGGTTGTAATTGAGACATGAGGGTCACGCGTCTTCCTTTAAATATATAGTAAATGCAGAACACTGATCACTTTGTGAACTGTATTTTATTGTGTATGGTTACCAAAACATAAATCACTGAAAGATCACCTTGAAATTCTGGTGGTTAAACAGAAACTTATATTTGTATATACTCATAATTGAACATTTTCTTTAAGTCTAGCTTGAAAAAAAAAATCATAATAAAAAGAGAGTTTACTGCACAGATAAATGTTTAAAGTGTTCTCCGGAGCGACTGGATAAGAAATGAAAATGACCCCAAATGTGGGCACAGCATTCTAGCTGAGGCCAACAGCACTGCAAGGGCTGAAGCTAAGAATAGATTTTCTAGGACAGAGTGCATCTTGATTCAGCAGCTCTATATCCATGGGACCTCAAAAAAACAAAACTTCCCAGGCAAGCACTAACACCAGCTTGTTTATTTTGAAGCAAAAGCCTTATCAAAGGAAAAAGCCAGTGGAGCCTAATATCACGGAGTACTGCGTCTTTGAAGCTCTGCGTTTCCAGCCAAGCGCTTCTATTTTTACCGAGCTATTTTAACTTTAACTCTAGGCGTGGCCTTTTCAAAGTGACAGATTTCAAGGAGAGGGCACGGTTAAATTTTAAGCTTGCCAAATCGGTCTCGTTAATAACACCTCTTACTCGGTAATGCTGCTCTCTGTGCCGTCTGCACCCATCTCCCTGAGCTCCACCGTGTAGGAGTCTACGGGGTTGGTGTTTCCTGACTCCCAGCGGATCAGAGCAGCCTCTGGACAGCTACTGCACTCCCTCTGCTTAATCACTGGAGGTGATGGCACTAGGGGAGAGAGGATTTAGACTTTTATTCCCACCAACACACCACTTTGGAGTGATTGCAAAGCTGAGGAAAGTGGCAGAACTATTATTATTTTAAACTGCCACAAGTTTAAGAACTCCTCACGTAGTTGGAGAGTGACATTTGTTACCCGTCATGTATAAGGCCTTCTCGCTGGCTGGGCTGATGCCTGTGGTATTGGTAGCCGTCACCCAGAGCTCGTACTGAGCATTGGGCAGCAAATCTGCAACAGTGCAGTGCGTCTCCTTCAACGTTACCTTGCTCACTTAAATAAAAAACAAAAAGATGAGCACACCTTTAGATCGCAATATTTTCAGGGAGATCAGTAGATACAAGTTGAGCAGCAGATGGTGACATTATCATGCAGTGCACATCTGCAGGGAGCGTCTCTGGTTTATACCCTGCGGTGTGAAGGTGCTGTCTGCTGGTGTATCCTCCAGCACCGGCCTGTAGTAAAGCTCGTAGTACTCCACTGTGTCATCAGAGAACAAGCTCCAGCACACGCGCAGGGATGTCTGAGTGGCAGAGTTGGGCATCTGGGGATTGATTACTGGGGCAGATGGAGCTGGGGGTTGTTTGATAGAGATTCACTGTAAATTCAGCACAGTTATCAAGAAGTCTTTTTAAAGTACAAAAATCTAAATGTTAAGACAGCTCTGTTCTGGTTGAAGCTCAACACTGACACCTCTGTGTGATTCCTATTATTAGGATTCTCATTTTCAGTGACGCAAGACACGGCGTGTTGCTAGATTTGTATTTTTCAAGTGACAGAGAAGGAGGCGGAAAGTGAACCAGAGGAGGCGATTTGTAGATTCAGACCTGGAACAACGTTGATCGAGTCCATCATGGTTTTGACATCCGACAGGTCAGCGAGCGGTGTGTTGAATTCAAGACATGTAGACAGCGTGAGGTCAACCTCGTCTTTGGCAAACTCCTCGATTCTAGTGTGGTACAGAACAAAAAAAAGCCCTGATTTTAAAAAACGTGCAGTGCGTTATCAGGCTAATGTTCAAAATTTGACCATAAAATAAATACTTTACGTGCTTTTCATCAAGCATGCAAGCATGTTTTGTACAGTGGATGGAGTTTGTTCAGCAGAGTTGTGTCTGTGGGTTGTGCCCATGAATGAATATGAATGATTGAAGTCTGAAGAAACAAGACATATTGTCAGTTTAACAGCATTTGTCGCAAGTCAGCCAACACAACCATATTGAGGTCCCACAGCAGCGTGTGACCAAGCTGGTGACCAGCATGAGGAGGAGGTGCCAGGCTGTTGTGGCTGTGTGTGGATCTTCCACGTGCTACTCAGGGCCCTGTTTGTTAAATGAATTAATTGTTTCTTCAGACTTTAATCATCCAGTCCAATAAACTACACCAAACAAGAGTCAGTAGCAGAATAAGCTGACTGGTATTGGAAGAGGAAATTTGGCAAGTGTTTCACGGGCGCGACCCACATACTCAACTCTGCTGCTCAGCCCACAAATGCATTTTCCCTAATAAATGTGGCTACATTTAAGGGGAAATAAACAGGCTTTCCAACGTATAGGTCTATTGGCAGGAAGCAACCTTACAAAAATAAATAAATAAATAAAATAATTGACCAAATACAAATTTCTTTACTTTTTGTGCTAGGTTCAAGGTTCTTTTTTTGTTTTTATTTGCTAAGTTCAGTAAGTGGACCTTCAACTGGGATTTTTAAATATATCAAGTTAAATAAAACTAAAGTCTGAAACTAAAGGGAAGACAAATCTCACATGTTATTGATGCTCGATCTCTTAATATCACACCTGCAGTGTCACACTGTGCAGACTCACTGTGCAGCCTCATGCTTACCTTTTAATTGTGGGCATAACTGTCTGTCAATAAAATCCAAAGAAGTAATTTCAATAGCAAAATAAATAAATGAATAAATGCTAATCAATGCTTCATATCCACAATTGCATTAGCTGGCCATGTTTTATTTATTTATTTATTTTTGGGGCCATCTGCAAATATGATCCAGTGGAGTCATTTATCACCTTCAAAAGAAGCCTCTTGTCCTGGCTGCGGTAGACCTCCTGCGCTGTCTCGATGAGCTCCTTGGAGGCATCGAGTGCCTGACCACAGGCCAGCAGCTGACCGTACAGGGCTTCCAGCTTACTCTTCTTCTCCTCCTCCAACCTTGCCGCGCTCTCATCCTGTCGCTGAGACAGTGTCTGCAGCACGTCATTGTAGTGCTGCTCCAAGTGCTGCTCTTGACGGCCAAAATTCTCCTGTACGTGCAATAATATGAGAGAGTTAGAGTGTAACACATTTGTTCTACAGGAAAGAACAAATTAAAAAAACAACAATTTGATGTAATAAAATGGGCTTGTGATGACTTTATTACTGTCTATGAGTAAAAAAAAAAGGAAAAAAGCATCTCTGCATATTCATATGATAATAAAACAGTAAAGTTATGTCAAAACAAAGGAGATCAGACTAGACGTTTGAGTAGTACCTCCACTGTAAGGAAGATCTCTTCCAGATGACCAGCAAAGCTCTCCATCTCTGCAACCTTCTCTTGCAGCTGATCGCGAATCAAGATGATCTCCCCCTGAAAGCAGTCATAACACAAGCTTGAGCTCTTTTCACATTTAATTCAAACCTGCAACACAGACTACAATGAGGGGTAACAGTTAAGAGTTTATGTTGCTGTTTACTATGAGTGTATCTTAATCAGATGTTTCCCCTCACTCAGCTATTTATTTTACTCTTCTGTATTGTGTTGGCATTCTCTCAGAGAAGTGATTAAATGCAATGAGACGACTGTGGCTGAACATAGGTAGTTAGTTAGTGTCCTCACCTCAGTTTCTCCCTCCTTAAAAGGATCCTCCTCACCATCACTTCCATCTTCTGCTGCAGTGGGAGATGGAGGTGAGCCTACATTGTAGGTCTCCATAGCAGTAGACTCTCTGCTTAACTCCTGGAGCTCGGCTTCCTCTGCAATTACACCCAGCCTGCCTCCTCTGATCTCATACAAGTCCATGATGACAAGGACTCAGGCGAGGACTGAGGCTTAAGTATCTGTTAGTGTCCTGAAACTGCATCGGAGGAGAATTTAACAAAGCAGAACTGCTATAGTGAGCAAGCAGCTGATAACAAATTTACCTGAAAATTTAAGGGAGCCGTTTGGTTCTTAGACAGCCTTTTCAGGCCAGCAGCAGTATCCGGCAGGACAGCAGTGACAGAAATAGATGGGACTGTGTTTGCTCACATTTCACAGGCATGCCAAACATCTACACAGGAAGTTCGTTATTAATGAAATAGATTCATTAAACGTGGTCGAAAGTCTGCAGAGGTCTGAGATATGCTGACATTGTAAAGGAACAACAACTAAAAGTTAAATGCTTTAATTTTTAGGATTTGGAAATCCCCGAACATGTGATTTAAAGGTCAAAGTTAAAGGCAGTACTAGAGGCTTATGGTGCATTCAAGGTTCCTCGTAAACTTTAGTTTAAGACATATCAAACGCATTGGATTAGACATTTCTGTAATGGGACCCGCCTGTTCTTAGTGACCCAGTCTAGGTTTTTCGTGGTTACCATTCTTTGTCAAAACAGCGTATTCTTTAAAGGGTAGATATCTGTGTTAGTAAAACCGTTAGCTCATATTGACCGATAACTTCCGGGGCTGGTGAAGGCAACTGACGTCACACAAATGGCGGACGTTGTAAACAGAGCCAGCAGCTTCTCGGCCAGGGTGAAATATCTCTTTTTAAGATGAACAGCATAGAGTGTGAGCGGCTAGACAGTCTGGAGGGGTGGGTGGCCGTTAAAAGCAACATATTTGAGGAAGATGAGGCCTTTAAACTGGGCTTCATCGTACAGTGGAACGTTATCGAGTGTAAGTTCGCCGTCACCTGCCATAACCGGACGTTACAGCGGCAGAAGCGCAAATCCGAGCCTGCCGCCGACGACCCTCAGATGAGCTGGGCAGGACTCTTCTCCGTCAGCGATCTGAAGCACGTCCACCAGCAGTTCACCTGCGTGGCCGACGTCCTGGGAGGCTGCTTCCCGGATTTGACGGAGTTTGAAGAGGGCAACATTTGGGACTTGCTCTTCCTGAATAGGAGATCAGGTCCAGACAATGACGAGAAGGACTATGACACCCCGTGTAGGAAACTCGAGAAGTATTTCAGCACCGCTATTGACCTCTGCGGACGGAAGATCGTTCTCGACACCTTGTTCGCACAGGATGACCGAGATATCGAGGAGTACTTTGAGAATTTACAGGAGTTCAAAAAGAAAAGCTTGCAGGAGGAGATGTCAAGGGCCAAGGGTCACCTGAGACAGGTGAGGCGTAGAGGTGGGCGGATCGATCTAATATCGATACCAACGCGATAGGACTGAGACTGTTTTTGTTCCCTAAGTGCAGTATGCCCACTGGATTTTGTTAAATAAATGTGCACATTTACATTCCAGGTCTCCAGAAAATCAGTTTCCAAACACCTTGTGTTAATTAATTAATGAATTAATGTGGAAAGTAAAAATCACAGTGATTTAGTGGTCATTAAAATGTGTTCAGAATGTGTAAATTAATGATGAATCAATCAGTAATCATGGTACACTGTTCTCCCCTTTGTAATCTACATTTTATAGGGTAAAAGTATTGGCATCGGTATCAGCAACACTGGCCCTGTATCTGTTTGGTGCCCCATCTATGATAGAAGTCTTACAACACCTTAGAAACATGAGTCCCTGAAGTCTGAAGTCTGAGAAAGACTGCATGCTCTCTAATCCCAAGAAGTTTAAAGGTCTAGTCTGCCATATTAGCACCTCTAAGTGGTGGTGTGAGCCTAAATCAGGTCTACCATGACACAGCAAACCACAGCTGCTGTTCCAGCCAAGGCTCTAGATGTTGCAACACCACCAGCACTGGTCTTTGTTTGCTGCTTCAACCTGCAATCTGACCCTTTAGCTCTGTTTAGTTTGTTTCACATGCAAATGGAAGTAAAAGCAGTCAAATGACAGCCAATAGACCAATGAAGCATTTGAAGAGCATAATACGTCAGCTTGACATCAAAACAGAAATCTAGTTCCATTCGAGATCCACTGGAGATCGCTGGAATGCATGCCTCCAAGTTTATCATGTCCTTTTATCAAAATAATGTGGTCTGAGTTATGGTAGCTGAGTTTTTACATGCCCACACTGTACCTGTTTCCACAGACATCATGATGTAGCTCGCTGAGCTGAAAATGTGCTTGTTGTGCTGGTTTGTTTCCTTACACAGATGTAAGGTTCTGATCAAGAATTGGTCACAGAAACAACGAGCAAGTGGACCTGTAAGAAAAACTGTTGATGGCACCGCTACGAGTAGAATAAATGTATCAGAATCTGTACTCGGTGCCGGTATTATGTCTACATAAACCACTGTTACGGTTCTGCTGTAAATGATACCTTTATGACATCTTATCCAGCTTTTGCTTATGCTGTCTCAGATGCAGGTTTGTGGTGCTGCGTTGATTGTTTTTAATGGCTAAAGCAAACATTGTTCCCATTGTATGCTGGAAGATGTCAGGGCATAGATAACACTTGATTTTCCAACTATTTACATATTTTGAATCCAAGCGATTTAACATTTTCTTAACCAAGATCTCACTCTCCAAAAAAAAAAAGTCTCAGTTCCAAATATTTCATCACTCTCACATAAAATGTTTTTTAATACCTGAATTTGTTTGACTTCAGCGGTCAACACCGCAGAACCAGGTCCAAGAATCCCCGTGGTGTTCAACCACTAACCTCATCTTGAAGTGTCTTCACAAGTCTACCTTCAGCCCACCCAAGTTGTATTCTGAAAGGCCTAGTTATCGACTCTTGTGTTAGCTGGCACGGATTGGATTGGTTCATTCTGAGTATGAAAAGTCATACAGAGCAAAACTAAGCTGTGTGCTCAGGGTAAACCCAGATCATGGTGTTTAAGTTTTTTTTGTCTCCACAGCTGCTACAAAGTCACAGCGGTGCTGACAGGATGGTCATGCTGCTCAGCATCTACGAGGAAGAAGACGAGGCCTACCAGGACCTGGCGACTGTCGCCACGACTTTCTTCCAGTACCTGCTTCAGCCTTTCAGGGACATGAGAGAGCTGGCCTGCCTTTACAAGATGGACATCCTTGTAAATACACACGTTGTCAGAATGTTTTACACGATTATATGCAGGGGATGTACTTAGTGTTAATATCAGAAATTTAAGATTTTGATGAAAATAAAAAAAGGGAGGATTTTACAATACTGTGCAAAAGTCTTGAGCCACCCCCTCATTTCTTTATATTTTGCTAGGAAAATGTGAAATATTGCAGTGATTTATCAAAACATATAAACATAGCTAAAATATACAGTATGTGAGGCAAAAACAGAGATTGACTTTTAAGCTTGTTAGAATTGTACAAAGTTTCTTCAACACAGCCTGAACAATCTCGTAATTTCTTTAAGTAGTCTTCAGGAATAATTCTCCAGGCTTCTTTAAGGACATTCAAAACTTTTCTTTGGATGTTTGCTGCCTTTTGTTCTGTTGTCTGTCAAGCTGATCCCGCACTGCTTCAGTAAAGTTGAGGTCCAGGCTCTGGGGAGGCCAGTCTGTGACTGATGGTGTTTTATTATGTGTTTCTCTATCCAGGTATACTTTTACTGCACTCACAGTTTGTTTGGGATCATTGTTATGATGAGAAATGAAGGCGTTGCCAATTAGGTGCTTTCTTGATAACATGGACCAAAATGTGATGGTACTTTTCTGTGTTCATAATTCCAGCAGTTTTGACAACGCCCCTGAATGAAACGTAGCCCCAAACCACGATGGAGCCTCCACTGTGTTTTATAGATGGCTGTAAACACTCACTGACAGTGATTTGAACCAAAAATGTCAAATTTGGGTTCATCACTCCATAAGATCTGTTGTCAGTGATTTGTCAGTCTAGTTCTTATGTAGTTTGGCACACCTCAGCCTTTTCTCCCTGTTTCCCTTCCTTAAGAATCGCTTCTTTACTTCGTTGACCAGTAGACGGATCAACTAAAACATCACAAGGATCTCTCAGATCCTGTGTCAGGACTTTGCTGGATGTATTCCTGTTTCTTAAAGACGTGACTTCCACATGCTGTTTACCTGCTGTAGACAGATTTTAGACCTGCCACTTCTTCTTTTGTCCTCCACTTACCCAGTCTTTTTAAGGACACACTGTACATGATGCTGAGCTGCTGCTAAGTCTTCAGCTAATAGCACAGTGAATAAAATGTTTTTTTACTAAGTTGTCTCTTCTGTGTAAACACTGGTCCACGCTTCAGTAATTCATGCGGCATTGTTAGGTGTCTTCTCTAAGTCTGACTCCTTGGAAGCACATAAAGAAATGAGAGTTGGCTCAAGACTTTTGCACAGCACTGACCGATACGTCCTTTAGTGGTCACATAAAGGTCTCTTTCACTCTTAACTGGTTCATTCGTTATTGCTGAGCCACACACAGCACTCATGAATAGACTGACCTGTTGCATCACTATGTCCAGTGTGGTTCTCAAACTCTGTGATGTAGGTTAAAGAACATTATTTTTTAAAGGGAATTTTTAGCCTTTATTTTGATAGGACAGTAAAGAGTATCAGGAAATTGGGGAGAAAGCAAGGGGAATGACATGTAAAAAGTGAGCGTGGTGTAGGGAAAATATTTATGTCCACTTAGAGGGAAAAGAGAGGTCAGAATTTGTTTTTACACTCATCCAAATATGAATAAAGCTCCCATGAATGCACAGTTAATACATACTTCTTACGGACAGGTAAGCCCTTAAGTAAAGACCGTTTTGCTTGCTGTGGTTGTCTGCAGAAGTCTTTGGAGTTTGAGGAACTGGGTCCTAAGAGAATTGCAGCTCTGGAAAAGGAGGCGGAGGAGTGGAGAAAAAAAGCAGAGGATGCAGTCGCCTCGATTCAGGACATCACTGTCACCTACTTTGCACAGACTTCAAAGGCTCTGGCTGGTATAAGTTGCTGTGTTTATATCTGCGTGGATGTTTCGGTTAATTATGAAATGTGTAAATGATCAAAACCTCCAAAAAGATTGTTTTCAGAGGAAATGGTTTTAAAAGAAAAGCCTCCATGATTACGCTATGGGATTCATTTCACACTTGTAAGGAAAAAATTATAACCGTTATATATATATGACAGCTCCTTGTGCACATTTCCAGGTATGGTGAAACAGATGGAGGAGGATAAGTGTCGTTTTGGACCCGCTGCCTGGGCGTCAGCGGCTCCCAGGCTGGAAAAACTCCGTTTCCTATTGGCCAAAGAAACCCTGCAGCACATGAGAGCCACCGAGATGTGCCTCAGCCGCAAGAAAGACAGCATCAAGGAGAGGGTGCGTGTCCATTTTATCTTTTGTTCTTTCTTTTTTTCCATTAGTATCAGCTGCTTTTCCAGTGGTTCTGTAATGACTCAGCACATTCGGTAACATCTTACTAGAGTGTGGTGCAGTTGTAAGACTTTCATTATCATTCATGTCTTTATTTCCGTGCCAAGGCCAACGCTGCTTTTGTAGTGGTTGTAAGTCAGTAGAGATGTGACACGGTGCCTACTCGCTCTCATGTATCATTCACTCGGTACTCCAGTCTGATGTGAGTCTGTGGCTGCTCTGTTCCTTTTGATCTATTTATAAAGCTTCTCTGAAAACATAGAGAATCCCCTCAATACACCCCCATCCCGATCACAAAAAACCCCCTCCACGCATGAATAAGTGAGTGTGTCTGGGTGCATATATGCATACTCAAAATATGCCAGCTACACACAAATGTGTGACTGCACCAGGAGGATGTTTCTCATGTCAGGATCACGGCATTTTTCGGGATGGTATGGCACCGGATCACTTGCTGCTTCACGGGGGTCATGCTGTGCGTTTGAGCTCTTGAAAAGAGCAAGGAGAACAACCGCAACACCTTTACCTTCACACGGCTGCATTCCCATCCCATTAAGCTTTTTAAATAATAAAAAAAAAAGTCAGGTTTGAGGACGCTGGCGTCATCCGTCACTGTGAAATCAACCCGAGCCTTTACATCTGCAGCTGTGTGCGAGTGTTCATAACGAGATCAGCGAGCTACACCTACGCAAACTCTTGCGCTGGTGGCAACACAGCTCGGTGACTCTTTAGAGCGTGCCAGTATGCCTGCGGGTATCCCAGATGTTTGCGTGAGTGTACCGCTTCAGTCTCTGTGGCAGCTGTGTCATATTCCAGCAGTGTGTGTATTTGTGTTCGACATAATTAAGAGCATTTTAAGGCTGTATTTTGAATGCTTTGAATGCAAAAGCTCATGCATGGCACATGCTGCAGGTAGCTGCTGGTTTCAGCTCATTTCATCACAGCATGAAAGCTTGCAGAGATTAAACTGTCTTCAGACAGGCAGTTCATCACAAATGCTTAATTTTTTATGTCAGATTTATCTTGTGTGTGTGTGTGTGTGTGTGTGTGTGTGTGTGTTTGCCAGTAGCGTGGCTGAAAGCAAAGCCTATTTTGATCATAATGTTCAAGGACAGGTAGCGAGCTGTCAAAAAGTAGCACTTGCCTCACAAAGTATTCACTGTATATATACAAACGACTGTTTTTTGTTTTTTTTTCTCCCCACAAACGACCGCTATGATCCTTTCAGCAGGGCTGATGTAACATTTTTCTGTCGTTGCCTTGCAGCTGGAGAACCTCTCCGTGAGAGCCCAAGGCCAGAGGGCCGATTTAAGGTCTGCGTTTGAGGACGGCCAGAAGCAGGACACTGTGGACCAGCTGGAACTGCAGTTCTACGAAACCCAGCTAGAACTCTACGACGCCAAGTTTGAAATCCTGAAAAATGAAGAGCAGCTCCTGGTGGCTCAGATAGACACCCTGAGACGACAGATTAAAGGTATCCTCACATTTACATAGCTGTGCTGTACAGCAGATTTATTTTGGGTATATATACACGTGTTTTGCAAAAGTCTTGAGCCTCCACGGTGACAGAGTTTCTTGTTTTTGAAGCAGTCTTGAGCAACCAGGCTTTCTGAAGGTCTTCCTTCTAGGACCTGGCGTCCACATATGTGGACATCACATTTTGAGTTGTCTAGACCAAAATACTGAATTTTGCTCTACAAGGGCCTGATATCCACTTACGAGGGCATTATACTGCCACTGTACTATCGAAATTTTAAACAAATATATTCATATTAGGATAGAATTTTTCCAATATTCTAAACGCATCTTACGATATATCCCAACACTACAATTCCCACAGCGCTGATTCAGCACCCTTCAGACTCTGTGTCAGTTATGATTAAAATGACACATTACACAATGCCCCCCTCCCCGCTGCATTATAATGTGTTGGATTGTCAGGCAGTGTGTTGTGGAAAAGAGGTGCCTTCTGGGAAATGCTGTATTTTGTTCGTGTAAATGTTTCTCTAATTGTTCCTCGTGGGAGGGGGCATGTTTGCTTCCAAGGTGTTTGCGTGTGCATCTTGCTGTCTGTGTCTGTGGTGACTTTGGCTGTGGGCATATTTACCTTTACAGCTCTCAGGTGTAGTTTCCTAGCTAAGAAACAGCAGCGCGTCCTCTGTCATTTGTTATTCGTGAACATAAAGTTGGAGGACTGAGGAAGATATGATGTTCTGTAAATAAGGAGAAAGCTACTGCAATGCAAATACTGCAATTAGTGCAGTTGCCAAGGAGACCCAGAACGTTTCATAAGCAGCTGAGGAGATGCTTTTATAATTTAGCAGTAATTTTACCAACGTTAAGCCGCTTACTCTTAATCAGATGTAAGTTTGCTACCTAAACAGGAAGTAAACAGATTTCTTAACTTCACGTAAGCTGCATAACTACAGTTGGCACAAAAGTAACCTTGGCACTACCTGTGACAACTACCTGTGCTGCTCGTGAGCAGTGGGCATGACACTGGTTATTTAGGTTGTCTGATGGGATGCGACAGCTGACGTACAGCTGGAGAGGATGCCATATAAACAGAAGACATGTAGGAGTGACTGGGCTGCGTTTGTGTTTCAGAGCTGAAGGAGGAGGTGGTGTACTACGATGTGTGCGAGGATCCGGAGGAGTTGCAGAGCATGGTCCACACAGGTATTCATCAACCAGACCCTCCAGCTGTCAGTCAGCTCAAAAGACGCCTACAGACCCTGGAAACCAAGAGGGGCAACATCTGTGCCCGCCGAGCTTACCTGCGTAACAAAAAGGTGTGTGCGAGTGCTGCTGACATGAAATCATTTCATATTCTGTGGTCCTTTCAAGCGTTTTGGGGGTTTTTTGTCCAAGGAAAAATGTATCGATCCTTCAAAGGCACATCTCCGCCTGCCTCGTGTGCCAAATGCTGGGTTTTTAAAATGTTTTTACTACATTGGTTTATTTTTAGCTGACATAGTAATTGAAGCACTTGGCATGTTTTCCTCTTTTGTTGGCTGCTTGCTTATTTGATTTTAAAAAAAGTATTACTCAGAGCAAAAAAAATGGCAAAGGCAGCCTGGTTAAAGACTCTCGATAGTTAATTCCAGTAATTCACAGGGAGGGAATGCAGTTAAAAAAATAGGGGCATTGGAAAATTACAAATAACGGCCTCCAAATAAAATCCGGATGTGTTGCAGTTGCATTTTCTCAAAGTTTTTTAACCGTTTGCTCAGACAGTCGCTAATTTCTGACAGACTAAAATGTATTTTCGAGCGATTAAGTGATATGTTTTGTCTCTCTTTAGGATCAGTGCACAGATGCACATGAGCAGAAGCACCTGGTGGAAAAACAGAGCTCCATAGTCTTCAACCAGCATCACCAGGTCCACCTCGTAAGTCAGCCAGGTTGTTGGAGCCGCAAATGAAAGCCGCTGTTTCTCTCCTGTGCCTCTCAGTGTCTCCCTCTGTTGTTTGCAGAAACGAGAGAAGAAGAAGGAGGAGGAGCAGAGGAGGAAAGAGTGGGTGGACAAGGAGCGGGAGAAAACTCTGAGCCGATTACGATCCTTCAGAGAGGTCAGGCGCTCTCACTCGTTCTGCTCTGCCTTCGCCTGCAGCTCTCTCCGAGTTAATAAAACCCGGGGGGACGCTGCATCGTACCCTCTTAATGTAATAGTTCACCTCAAAAATAAAAGCTCAGTTATTAGCCACTCGACCCCTCGCGTCGGAGGAAGTCCTGATGACGGCGTGCTGTGGCTGTGGACGGGCTTGTTAGTAATGAGCTGTCTTACACCAGAGCTTCAAACTGTGCGTGGACGACTGCTCTTTGTTGGCTTCTAACTTCAGTGACCCAGTGATATTTTCAGTGTGACAGTCAGACTCTGTTTTAACTTTAAATATAAATATAACTAATGACATTTCTATCAGCTTCTCCTTTACAGTGTGCTGACTGCTAAAAAAGACTTAGACGCTACCTTAAACTAGCATGTTAGCGATGCCATTGTCAACACCTAATCAAGAATGGCATTAGTATTCAGCTGAAGTAACCTCAGTGCTGCTAGAATAGCTACGAGCCCAGGAAGAGAGCCCTGCATCAGTAATAATGACTGGGTAATGATGATGACTACATCATTTGGCGGCACAGTGGTGCAGTGGCTGGCATTGCGTCGCCTCACAGCGAGAAAAAGGCCGAGCGGGCGATTAAGGATTCAAACCTCCTGGGGTTATCCGTCTTCCTCCAGCAGTCCAAAGACATGCATGTTAGATTAACTGATGATTCTAAATCGGTAGATGCAGCGCTCATGTGCACAGGATGAATATGTATGAAAAAGAAGATGGGGGCTTGTAGTTTAAAGCACTTTGAGTGGTCAGAAACTACTAGAAATCATTCCATTGATTCATGTGACTGAATGAATGGTCCTGCTTTAAAACAAAACATTGGCCTGCATTTGTATAGCGCTTTTCTAGTCCATAGGACCCCAAAGCGCTTTACACTACATTCAGTCATTCACCCATTCACACACTGGTGATGGCAAGCTACATTGTAGCCACAGCTGCCCTGGGGCGCACTGACAGAGGCGAGGCTGCCGGACACAGGCGCCACCAGGCCCTCTGACCACCACCAGTAAGAAAACATGTGGTTAGTATCTTGCCCAAGGATATTTGGCATGCAGCCAGGAGGCAGCCTGGGATCGAACCACCGACCTTCTGATTAGTGGCTGACCTGCTCTGCCACCTGAGCTACAGCCACCCCACATTAACGCTCTCTTGGTATTTTTTTTAATGCCTCCATAGTGTAGTGGTTAACAAATGTGCATGGTTAGCAAAAGGTTGCTGGCTCAATTCCAGGTGGAGACTCACATCCCATTTGTGGTTGTGTCAGGGCGTCATGGCAACCAGATGTAACAATGATGTTGGATCTCGGTGGTCAAAGGTCACTACGAAACAAGTTTTTGGCCCCAGGAAATTCTCTCTCTGCAACACACGCAGAAAGTCCAACACTGTGATGTCATTCCACCTGCACACAAATACACCCACAAGATTTCAGACGGCTGATTCTTGTGTTTAAAATCACTCCCTTGTGTCCTCTTGTTCATGAGCGTCTACATGCTCTGCTCACTGTTGACAGTACATCTGTATATTCCATAGTGAGCAGGAAAATCAAACCAATTATTATGTATTTCAGTCGCAATTGGTCCTTTTTAAGCCAGAACTGAGAAGCCTTTGTGGTGAGACTATTTTGTTTAAACCAGGGGTGTCATCATAAGGCCCGAGGGCCAGAATCGTCCTGCCAAAGACTGTAATGTGGCCCATTGGACAGCTTTGGAAAATATGAAGGAGAACTAACTAATAAACTAATAAAGACCTCCACCATAGCCATTTATACAGACTCTAAGGCAAATAAGAAATAGATGAATGTATCTGCTAAGAAAATCTGTAAAAAAAAAAAAGACATTCAATTAACAAAAAATGTTCTGTTTTCTAATCACAGGACAGTTTGCACTAACAGATGTTTTCATTGAATTTTACACATTTATTTCTCATATTTTTATCCCATTATATATCATTTAAGCCTATGGAGTCATGCTGCCAGTTTTCTTTCATTTATTTACAGTAGTATTTCTTAATTATGTAGAAAAACTGACGCACCCCCGAAATTACACTTAGTTTTCTTATACATGAGAAATGAAATATGTAGTTTAACCTTACATTGACAGAAAGTGGAGGTCCAGCCTACTTAGGATCAAAGTATGTGGCCAACATTATAAAACGAGTTTGACATCCCTGATTTAAACGATCAGCTTTTACGTCCGTGCTTAACTGTGCGGGGCTTTGATGCACATCTGCCGCCACTTTTTTAAATCTCATGTAGATGCCTGTTTAAAACAAAACATTAATGCATGAGCTTCAGCTGATGGGTTTTTTTTTTCTTCTTTTTTTTTTTTCCAGAAGCGACCGGGCCAGTACATCCTGAAAGCGCCCCAGTCCAGGCCTTCGCTGTCTTCTCCAGAAAGCCTGTGCCCCTCGCAGCCGATGTCCATCATCAGCCTCAGCCCTGCTCCCTCTTCTCAAGGACCCCCTCCCTCCATCCGACCCGCACCAAGGCGCAAGAAACCAGCCAAAAAGCAGCAGCTGAAAGACATGCCTGTCCAAATCTACGCTGCGCCACCTCCTCCAACGGCCATCCCCCCTCCCCCAACAGCCCCACCCCCTCCTCCTCCTCCGCCACCACCACCACCACCACCACCACCGCCACTGTCACTGCTGCCTCCCCCCCGAGTGTCGCCCTCATCAGAGGATGCCCCGATGCCTCTGAGTGAAAAAGAGGGCCCTCCATTTCCAGCCAAGAACACGCTCAAACAAAATATAGGTGAGGGTGAAATACGTGCAGTATCATTCAGATCTTCATGTCCAACAAAACCAACGAAGAATAAAAGAATGGAGCAGGATACGTGATTTTTGTTTGGCTGCTGGGAAGGTTGTGTGTGTGTCTGCACATAGTGTTCTGTCCTAAATTCCTAACTTCTCTCACAGGGCCAGAGGAGGCATTTTACCTGCAGTAGTGGTCCTGGTTATATACGCTGTCTGCTCCAAGGAGACTCTAACGTCCAGCAGAGCTTCTTTTTCATAAGATCATGTGAAACGGAGCACACTCAACAAAACTGTTTCAATAATGTTTCTTACAGCGAGCTAAGAACCAGCTCATCAGCAGTGTAGCTTCTTCCCCTACACTTTAACAGTGTTTCTCCTTTAACTTTGGTATTTTTGTAGGAACCATGGACGAAGTGTTGGCTTCGCTACAGCGTGGACAGATTAAGCTTCGAAAGGTCCCCGCGGCCAGCACGCCGAGCCCCACTGGGGACGCAAGGAGCAGTCTGATGTCTGCCATCCGACAGGGAGTCACCCTGAAGAAGGTGAGATGTTGATACGTTGATCGGCTAGCTTACTGCAGAACGATTGCATCACCGCATGTGTCACTTGGTAAAAATGTGATGACAGTTGGTTATTCACCTGTGGGGAAAAAAAGCCAGTGTGGCTCAGTTTGTGTCACCCCCCCCCCCCAAAAAAAAAAACTTCCAAATATCAAATATCAGTCTTTACTAAAGAATTAATCTGCATGTGAAAATGCTACCTAACAAATGCACAATTTATTTGTGTTTGTGTAATATGCGATCATCGGTGTTTAGGTAAATGTGACACGAGTTTCATTTTCACTAAGGACCACCGGTATTTTTGCTATGAGCCGTTTGCTGTGGACGTGGATCACATAAATTAAACCTTGTTTGTTCTCAGTGTACAATATTTCTTTTTACTGACCGACTATTAATGGTGAAGAACACATTCGTGAGGTAGTTAAGCTATAGGAGCTGTCACAAAAAGCCGTTCACGTCCTAATTTTTGATAGGAGACATGCTGTATGGGAACTTTGAGTGCACTCTTGTGCACAACAAACAGCTCCCCCGTGTGGATTCTTTTTTAGCGCAGCAAAGGAGTGAATTATTGAACAGTGCTAGTAAATTTAAAATTGGGTATTTTGCTTCTAATTTTAAACAAATGGTCGATGAAGCTGTTCACAGGTTGTGCGTGTAAATTCCTTTTTTATTTTATGAGAATGCAGACGTCTCCTTTATAAGCCCAGAAAGTTGATTTTGTGGATGTGGATGATGTTAGCCAAGTGACCTCTTCAGCGCTTCACCCACTGCAAACCCTACAATACAGATCAACAGAATCAACTTTCACAAGTATACATGCAACATACTTTAGGCTCTTCCCTTATTTCCCGAGGAGCCACCACAGCGGATGGAGCCACATATTTGATTTGGCACAGATTTTAGACCACACGCCCTTCCTGATGCAATCCTTCCATTTATCCAGGCTTGGGTCCAGCACAGGGAGTACACTCGCTTGTGACCCCCTGAGGCTGGATCTGTGTCTCCTTCTGGTCTCGACCCAGGGATCTTTCACATATTAGACAAATGTGCTAAACTGCTGCACCGTGGAGCCACAGTTATGCATACGTAAAAACCTATGCTATAACAGACTAGAATACATTTAGCTGTTCTAGTTCCAGGGTCGGGTGTTATCCCAACGGGGTCATTGCTATGTAGCTCTCTACTATAATGTTATTAGCTACTTTTTTGGTACTGATTACAGATTTCACAGCAGGCGCTAACTTAAAATGTGAACTGTATTTCTTTGCCGTTGCGTAGGTGGTTCCTGCACGAGTAGAAGTCCCGAGCGGCGGAGACAACGAGCTGGAGCGCAGCATCAAGGCCGCCATGATGAGGATGAAGAAGGTGGCGGCTGATTCGGATGAGGACGACAGAGGGGACGAAGAGGGACGCAGTGCAGACTGGGATAGCTGAGAATGCGTGCGCACTCACGCCGATGAAGCTGCCGTCTTATGTTAGCTCCTCTCAGTCTTCCTCACAGTTATGAGCTTCAGCTCATTGTTGCCAATTTCCATCGGAAAACAAGAAGAAAAAAAAAAAGCTGCTTGTTTGACAAGAACAGGATTACGCCTCCTCAGACTTAAACGTTGCAGTTTGTTGAAGTTGTTGCACATTTAATCCCTTTTGTGTGTGTGTGTGTGTATGTGTGTGTGCTTTTGTTTTGTAGCCCTGAAACGCTGTAATACATCCAACACTGCAACTAACTAGCGAGCGGCAGAATCAGGACTTACTCTCCTCTAAAACACTTTCCAATTTTCAGAAATCCCAGTGAGAGCGAATGAGCCGCTTTGTTTTTAACGCTCCTCTAATTATTGAATTTCTCCCAAATCTGTGCCCGAAGGCCTTTTGTGACAGTGTCACACAGCAGGGGGGGAGTGGGGTGGGAGCTTGTGCTGCGGGCGGTGAAGACAACACTACGCAAATTGTCGTTTCGCTCGCACCACTCGGTCTGATCTCATCATTTTGAATGTAATTAAATTTGAACAATTGTTTATTTAACCTAACCCCAGTAAGGCTACAGCCACGTGAAGGCAGCGCTGTTAATCATTCAAAGCCTGCGTGTCTGAAGTCTTTGTCGCTGTTTGCGTTGCAGGCCGTTTCACGCTGCCCGCAATTTTCCCCTTCTCATGTCAGAATTTTGGGACCGCTTTAGGATTAATCAAAGGGCACTTTCGAAGTGAAATACACAAAGACAAATTGAGAATATTAGGCTTTAATTTAAGTAATGGATTAAAAAAAAAAAACATCGCAAATCGCTGTGTCATCTAAAGAAAAGGAAAACGGGGGAAAGGTTCCTGTTGTTTAAGGCAAATTGACCTTTCAACCTGTGACAGCACGTTGCTTTGTTTTGGGGGGTTTTCCCTCCTCAATCTTTACAAGTGTTCCTTACCTGAACCTGTCAAACAGTTAAACTGTGTGATAGCAGCATTAAATGCTTTACAGGATGAATTCAATTTTAGTTTTATGAGTTAATGATGTTCGAGGCCGACACCTGCATTGCTGTGTTTTAATAATAAACTAGGAGGCATCAGGTCGTCATCAAACGTTGGCGTTCCTTTTTCCCTCCACTTTCATTCAAATACATTCATCTGAGCTCTTTGCCACTTGCTTTGCTCACGCTGGTCCCCGATCTCCAAAGTCTTACCTGTGCCCAGGCCCTCATTCTTTAAACAAAGTCACATCAGACCTGCACCGGTGAACCCCTGGCGAGTGGGCTTTGGTGGATGAAGCCCACAGTGATGAGTCACGAAGTAATGTCCATCCTGGCAGCGCTCGCTCTCACACATCGGTCTCCTGCAGTGACAGCTCAGACATCCCCAGCCAGCTGCGATTGAGTTTATTCAGCTCTGCGTACTTAAGAGAAGCCACCGTTTTTGCGGGGCTGCTGTCAGTCTGTGTGCAATCTGTTTGCAACATCCACGCGATTCAGGTGGAGACGGGTCACGCACCTCGGGGTGGGAGGGAAGGCGCACACGGGGGTATTTAGACGAACACCTCCATCCAGTATAAACAGAAATTTCAGCAGCCTGTTACTATGGCAACAAGAAGTGTCAGCGGTAGTGGCCTGCAGTGCCATATCGCTCTCTTGCTCGCTCTCTCGCTCACATGTACAGAGCAGCATAGTCTCTTGATGTTTCACCAACTCGCCCACTTGTCACCAGTCACACAATGAGAGCTGAGAGTCAGACAGCGATGACAGCAGAGAGAACGAGAGGCCGTTTTTGCTCTACCAGAATCGATTGGGAGCGAGGCTGAAAGTTGAGGAGCAGAAGTACAATTTTTTTTTCAAATTGGTATTTAAGCCCTAATTGTGTGTAATGAGATCCAGAGTTGAAACTTTAAAGCAGTGCTGACATTTAGCAGATCATTATCAGTATGCGTGTCAGATATATGGTCAAAATGGCGACCTGCTGGTGGCGCCAAACAAAAAGACTTAAGGGTGACTTAGGTGAGAAGGGTTCATCCTAAGGTGGGCATGAATATCTACCCAGATTTCCTGCTTTCATGGCGGTCCATTGTGTAGTTTGTTACTCTGGCTGACAGTGTTCAGGTGTTCAGTAAGGCTGCAAACAGTCTGGGAACCTATCTGCTGACCTCAAGGACATTCATGTGTATTCATGTGACATTAATTAAAAAATTAATTGTTCATAAAATTAGTAAAATAGTAAAAAATGTTCACCACACCATTTTTTTGTTTAACTTAATATACATTTGCTGACCACTTTGTTGGGTACACCTGTTCAACTTCTCATTATTACAAATACTGTATCTAATTGGCCAGTCGCATGGTAGCAGCTCAAAGCCTTTAGACATCCAGACATGACCAGGTCGGCCTGGTGAAGTTCACCCTGAGCCTCAGAATGAAGAAGAAAGTGACTTTGAAAGTAGCACTCTTGTACGGCCATCTCTCGGGTTTACAGAGGATGGTGTTAAAAAAAGACAAAGTGCTGAAATCATGAGCGACAGTTCTCTTGGCAAAAATGCCTCAGCAGCTGAAGACCACACCAGGCGCAACAACTACCAGCTGAGAACAGAAACGGAGGCTACAGTTCACACAGGGTCACTAAAACTTGACGACAGGAAATTAGAAAAATGTTGCTTGTTCCGATGAGTCTCGATTTCTGCAGCAAAATTCTCATGGAGTCCGAATTTAACAAACGCCTCCTATCAGTGGGTCAAGGTAGTGGTGTAAATCCCTCAGTACCAGATGAATATTGTGTACCCATCTTCTGATGGCTACTTCTAGCAAGATAATGTGCCATATCAATAAGCGCAAATCATCTCAAACTGTTTTTTTGAACAAAATGAGTTTACTGTGCCCGAATGGCCTCCACAGTCACCAGATTTTGCTCCAGCAGAGCACCGTTGGGATGTTGTGGAACATCATGGATGTGCAGCCGGCAAATCTGTGTGATGGTGTCAACTCTATATGCAGCAAAATATCTGAGGAATGTTTCCAGTACCTTGTTGAATCGGTTCCATGAAGAATGAAGTCAGTTTGGAAGGTCCAACCTGGTAACGTGTCTGTTACGGTGTTTCCACAGCTGTCTGAACTTTACTAAACTCTGAACCAAAAACAATTCTAAAAATGAGGAGTCTCCATATCGGAGTCTCTCATTTAAATAATGTCATTGTTGGTTGTTATTCAGTTGTAGCAGTTTTCTCTTTTTTGAATCACTCAAATGTCTTTGGATTCTGCACTGTTGGCTGCACAAAAGACGTCTTTTCAAAACGTCTGATTTGACTTTTTTTTCCTTTTACATTTCATATAATAAACAAAGTGATTCATCAAAAAAGTCCGAGTAATTTGCAGTGAAAATCATAGCTGCATTCCTACAGCAGTTAATTTCCAATTGACTGAATTAATTGGTCAATTATCCCATCATTTTAACACTAAATTGGTGCTTAAACTGCGTATTGATTAATTTCCCCCTTGTAAACCAGCTGATCTCTGAAGGTGAAAACAAATTAGACTCTAAATGGGAGTCCAGTTTCCAAGGGTCTGATTGTTTTTTTTTCTTGTTTTTTGTTTTTTTAAATCAACCAAGTAAAACTGGTACATCCCTCAGTCCATCATTCACACAGTTATTTACACAAGAAAAATAAAAGTCAGTAGGATTAAGTTACCAAGGCAACCTGTCCTCTGATCCACTACTGCAGTTATTTTCTCTGAGCTCGGAGGACGTTTTAAGGTGTTTTCCATCAGTCCTCAAACCAGCTTTTATCTTTATGTGCTTTATTTGTTCTAATCTCAGAAATTGATACATCATTGACTGATTGAATCCCACCTCATCTGCTTTGCTTATGCGTGGATTACAGCTATATTTAGTGGTATGTAAATCGTGCGGTGGCGGAGCTTCTGTGCTCGACGGGACTCAGCTCTGGCACTGTAGGTTCATTCCACCTCCTCTGTGCTTCTCGTCCAGGAAAAATGCCTAAAGACTTATAAAATGTCAGGCAGCGTGTTTGTAAGCTTTTCTTTTTTTTTTTTTAAGTTTCCTACACAGAACCCACAGCACTAATATGCAGCTAAGTAGGTATTAGGGAAACTTCCCATCTTCTCTCTGTGGAGCCCTTTCCAAAAATGTATCCCCCTACAGAAAAGACACTAACTCAGCAGTGTAATTAAACTAAATTTTACCAATTGTCAGTTCTATTGTACAATATTGAACAGGAATCACAAAAGTGCACAAGAGGCATCGGTTCAAAAGGAAGGATCATACATCGTGTTATCCAGATTCAGGTGAGTTACAAACAGGAGGGCAAAACAGAAAGAGAAAAAAGCGAGAGAAAAAAATCCCTTCATTCGATATCTCAACTTTAAGACAAGATTGAAACTGATGAAAAATAAAAACTTAGTACCGGTATTACAGAGTAAATATGTCACTACAACATGTGCCTTTGATTTCAAATGGAGCAAGTTTCAAGATGGACTTCCTAGAAGCAGCTGTGGCACCATCCTGAAAACCTCCTGACTTCTTTAATATGTTATCGTACACCTGTGGAGACATTAGGTTAAGGTTGATTTACTTCTTACGTTCTAGAAATGGTCGTTGTAGAGAGGCACCAAAAATAAATAAATGCATAAAACATCCCTCTCCCCTTGCAAAAAAACAAAACAAAATTTTGACAAGTTTTTAGTGAAAAGCCCCATGCCATCTAAAGTGAAGTACACTTTCACATCATCCACCCATCGAGCAGCACCGAGTCCCCTCACCCAAAAATAACCACCACCATAACAAAAACCGAGTGTGTAGGAAGCACATCGAGAGCCTTGGAGACATCTTTGTTCTGCAAATGAGCAATACTACTGCGCGCACACACAAAGTCCTTTAAACACTACACTCATGGCTATACGGGGTTCCCAATATTATTCTGGCTGTTCTGGAAGGAAAGCTCCCGGGAAAAGTTTTTTCCTTCTTTAATCTAATCAAAAAAGTGTTTACATAAAAGAGAGTTGATAAAGTCAGTTGAGGGCTCTTATTTTTAATTTATTTATTTTTAAACATGGCTTTCATCATTTACGTTTCTCATCTCATTAACATCCTCGGGGTGTGCATGCTTGTCTCCTTTTTCATCTCAGTTTATTAGCAAGAATTTTAATGCATCTTCAGGTTTCCTCAACAAGAAAAAAGAAAAGTTGTTATTATGGTGATGGTCATCGATTGGCCAGTTCTCCTCACCAGGTAGGTTTAAGCTCACCTGGAGGCACTTTGTGTCACGGCCATTTGTCACATATGTGCATATAATCTAATAAGTACAAACTGTCTTCCAACACACCTGAGATAGAAGAGAGGCAACAGCGAGGACAGCCTGTACAAAGATTTCATCTTTAATTCTCGAGCGGGACACAAAGATTAACACCAATTATTACTTGAGTGATGCTGAGCAGCATTGTCTCTGTTGTTCATTTTAGCCCTTTAAGTCCCCTCCTCTACTCTAAGCTCAGACTTCCTTGTGCAGAAGTGCTGCCTTCAGGAAAAAAAACAAAACAGAAGAAAGACAGATGGACAGAATCTAAGAACCCACCACCGGCTTTTTAAACCTGTTTTTCCCCCACAGAAACGGTTAAGTAAGCTCAAAGTGTGACTCTTGATTTAGTTTTGCAATGCCAGCACACGAAATCGAGCCATTTGGTGGAGTGCACTGGCCTTCCTCCCTCCTTTTAGTCTGCCAGTCTCTCTCTCCCTCTCTCAAAAACATCTTTCTCACAAGGTAGTGTTTATTAGAAGCCAAAGCTGAATTGTGTCTGTGTGGACGTCACCTTGGGGGAATAGGTGCCACACAGTTTCTGCCCTGTAGTGAATCCTTCGTACCTGACCTCCGACCCTTTTAGCTCAGTGCTACTTTTCCTCAGTTATCAGCACCCAGCTTAGACAGCCCCTGCCTGAACTCTTGCAGCTCATCTAGCTTTCCATCTAGAACATCCATCAACTTCTTCAGCTCGATCTTCATGTTTCCTTGCTTTTGTCGGCTGTCGTCTATGTCCAGCTGAAGACCCTCTATTCTCCCCTCCAGCTCCTTGTTTCTTGTCTCTGCAGCCTGTGGAAAGATGTCGGGAAAACATTAACGTTAACATTTGATGTATCAGCACAGCTGGTTTGTTGTGTGTGTTTGAGCTGAAATGAGCAAGAGCTTTTTCACTTGCAGTAACAAACAAAAGCCTTCCCATGTTGCATGTGCAGCTACACAAAGAGAGAGATCCACTTGCTGTAGGTTGGGACGGGAAAACATTTATGTGAAAGAAACGTGTTTGCATATGTGAATGGGACATGAAAGTGAATCTTTCAGACTAACAGGCAACACGAGTGACATGTTAATAATGCTGAAGATAGCAATGAAGGGAGGGATTTAAAATAGGAGTGCTAAAAGGGTGTTGCGCCTGCATGACTATGTTCCAGCTGACTCCTGAAACCTGATCTCCATGAGGGCTGTCATCTTTAAATAGAGGGCAGCCGTAACCACAAACACAGGGGTAGAATAGGTAGACTTTTTTTTTTTTTTTTTTAAAAAGCATCAACTCTGCACCAGCAAAGATAAGTTTTTACAGCATTTCTGTCTAAATTGAGTCAAATTCAGCTTTAGGCTCCATAGTTGGACAAAAGGTATTGGAGAAACCCCATCGTCTATGCCTCTTCTCAGTTTGGATAACTGGTTAGATAAACTCCGGCTTGAGCCATTTTTGCTGTCTTTCACCCAGCTGGCTGCTGCAGAGACAAACCATGCCGTCGAGCGTTGTAAAGCACAAGAACTTCAGGCATGCCACTGTTGGTTTTATTCATCACTCCATGCCCAGATTGAAATGGCAGCACATGTACTGACAGCTTGGACGATAAAAATCCCGATCTGAGTCAGTCAGCACAGGGCGACATGAGCGTCAGTATCAATGCAGCTCATGTCAGACTTGGCACTAACAGGACACACGGTGATCCAAAGAGCCTGGCTCTTCTAGTTCTACAGAAAGTCTGATATTATTCAGCGAGGAGTCAGCTTTGAAGAACAGGTGCCCTTTGTTACAAAGAAGACGTGAGGCTTCTCACAGGCACAACCCACACACCTACAGAAATGTTATAAGAGCTGATCATTAAAGCTTTGAGCAGAGCTCTCAAACTACTTCAGCTGTTTTTATAGCAAAAACAGATCAAATCTGCACCAGCAGGAAACTAATAAGCTGTGACAGAGACATATCTCTGTTCCACTGAAGAGGGAGAAAAAAAAAGAAAAAAAAGAACCCTTTTCAAAGAGGCAATAATCCTCTCTGCGTTGTACTGGGGACGGACCTTTATTATTAGATACAGTAACGACGACAATGTGCGTTAGTGAGACACGTGATAGGAATGTTGTGTCACCAGCCCTCAGGCAGAATGATGAATAGCAACTCTTATTGTCTACCTTCATCTGAAAGCGCTGCTTACGCCTCAGAGCCCGAGTGTTAGCTCGCTGTGATAGCCATTGTGTCCTCACGTGTGTGTTAGGTCTAGACAACTCTCAGCCTGGTCTCTGTACTCTGCAGTAAATCACACCTGAGGGGGGGTAAAAACTAGGGCTTGTGCCGGGTGCTTTTGAACGTACCTGCAGTTTCGAAGTGATGCTCTCACACTCCGACATGAGCTGAGGGATTATCTCTGCCTGCTTCCTCAAGTTCTCCAGCTCCTGGGAATAATGTTAATAATAAAAAAATGTAAAATCCAGCGATTCCGATGTCAGTCAGGGTCTTAGGAACAATCTAAGTTATTTAGCTGAAGGACCTTTGAAATTTAAAATAAATCATTCTTAATTGCTTTTTTGTATAAAAGTATGTAGATAGACTGACAAGAACAGCACCCAGATAAAACGGGACATTTAAGCCAGTAATTAACTGCTTGCCAAGAAAAGAAGAAAAAAAAAGTGTGATGCCCAGCATAAACCCTGGAACATAATTACAGTCATGATTTTATGTCAGTGTTAATTAAGGTGCACCATCCTTTGTAAATAAGCCAACCAGGAAAAATGAAAAAAGGTCAAAGTGGTACAAAGAAGGCAAAAAGGACATCAAGATCAAGAGATAGCCTTGTGATCATGCCTCCGTCTCCTTCTCAGGTAAACATCTCAGTTAATGCTCTGAAAACCTCCTCCCTGCTTTAAGCAAAACACTATGCGGCTTCATGGCATCTGTTACCGCTTCGAGCACATTTTCGCCAAGTAATAATTGCTTGAGTCTTTGTAGTTACCTGCAGCGGCTTTGTTCTGTTA